CCAATATGGTTCCTTGCAGTATTGACTTGACCAAGTGCAAGCTTGTAGTGGTCTTTGTTGTAGAGAACATGAAGGAGGTCACCATAGAATGGGTGCACACCATCCAACCGGGGAAACTCATCAATGATTGTAGAGAGCTTCTCACGAAAATTCTGTTCGGTACATTTGACTTTTCGCATTAGAACTTCCGGAGGCTGGAAATGGCAGAACCCTTGTGGACTACGGTTGGGGTCTGTCGCTGGGTGCGAGATAGGATAATGTCAATGAAGTCCTTCCTATTTGGTACCACAGGCATCTTCTTGAAATTATATTGCACCATTTTTACTTATATTAGTCTGCCTGTCTACTCAAAACAGAATCAAGTTAACATCTACCTTTTATCTTTGGACTGAAACATGAAGGTACCATAAAATACACTAAAAGTACCAAACCCAAGTACCCAAACAAACTCAAACATAATTCAACATTAAAACATCTAGTATCTTAATTCACTACTTAAAAAAACACAATTCACTTGTCAACCAAAAATTGTATTAGCTCCACCAACTGTAACACCACAGACAAAAATACATAAATCATCAAGACTACAGTCTTTCTGCTTTAAAAATATTTGAGGACAGGATATAGGAGCCAACAACCCTTAACTTCAATAACGCATTTGGAAATACCTATGAGAAGGTGCGATACAAAACTACAAAATTACCATTAGCATGGAATCTATAAGCAGCAACAACTAAACAGTCAATCCTACAGAGAAGATTAAACATCACTTTCTTCACAAAACTCAATCTCATGATGAAAAAGAAAAACGAATTACTGTAACCAGCAGTCCCACACAATAGTTGATGACACGCAAAAATAAGATGCAAACTGGATTAATTATAAATAGAAAAAAAAAACAAATTTAAACAAATAAATGTTGAGTTGCTTAATTAGAGAGGTTTTCCAATGATTAACTGAGATTTTTGTTAGTCTCCGAATCACATATACAGCTAAAGCCAATTAAGTATTCACATGTGTGATGATATAATTATGAGTCTGTGAGTGAAACAACAAGAAATCTGAACAAAAGTTGTGTGTTTAAATGGACTAATTAATGTAATTACAAGATGAAAGCGTAAACGCAATACAGAGTCACCAAGCCCAGCAAAAAGCAAGCTGCAACCAAATTGAAAACTGAAAATGAAACACAAAATCCTAAGTTACAAGAAATTTGCCTCAACTTCGCTGGAACCTTACACTTCCGAAATCACCTTAACCAAAGAGGACAAAGACTTGGCATGCGACAATAATCAGAAAAAATGCTAACAAAATACAGTAAGAGAGAGAGAGAGGGAGAGAGGGTTTGAAGAAGAATTACCTTACAACTTTGGAGAGAGCTTCGGAATAGAGTGCATGAAAATTCAGAGACTCAAAGAGGAGCGGCAGCTCTTAGGCGTGTAAAAGGTTTTCGACGTGACAATCATACGTAACGTGGTGTAATATGTATATTTATTTATTAGGGCTCGTCAATGGGTGGGGCCGGGCCGGGCATTTTCAGACTTGATTAAATAAACGGCGGGGTCGAGCCGGCCCATGGGCTGGGCTTCCTAAATGGGCTAACGGAAAAAGAAATAAATAATTCACAGAAAATATATGATTTTCATTCAAAGTCTGAAACGTACGTCTAAAATCCAAATCTGATACAGAATCATAGCCTTCTAATTAAAATCCAAGTCTGATACAGAATCATAACTTTCCAACTAAAATCCAAGTCTCATACAGAATCATAGCCTTCCAAAATCAAAGTTTAATACAAAACTAAAATTAAAGTCTTCCAAACAAAACGTGTTCAATTACATATCATTTCAAATTTAACTTGTCAAATTTTCATTAGATTCACTCTCAACATTTTCACTAACTGTCATCCAATCAGGTCTTGATGCTCTAATGTTCATTAATTCTTCGGCGCGTTGCTCATCTTGTGTTGCATCTTGCATACTTGAATTGGCTAAGGTCCAATCTTTCAAGCAAATTAATGATTCTATTGTATTTGGACTCAAATTGGACCTCTTCTCGAATACAATTCTACCACCTCACTAAAACATGATTCTGATGCTATAGTGGAAGTTGGAATAGTTAGCAAATCACGAGCCATAAGGGAAACAATAGGATATAGTGATTGATTGCTTTTCCACCAACCCAAAACACTAAATTTATAATCATCATCAACCTCTATTGTTGGTAAATTAAGATAAAATTGTAACTCAGAAGTAGCCGTGGAAGAAGAAGAAGAAGAAGATAGCTTTGCCTTTTTCAAGCCTTACATAGAGAAATTTCTCATAATAGGGACAACTATAGAACTAGGAGCTTGGCTCAAGGTACTTGAAGTTACAATTGAAGTTTGCACATTTTGACCCACATCAGACATTACACTCTTCTATAAATATCAAATAACATAAACAATAAAGTTTTTAAAGTTAAAAGTTTTGGTCAATGGTTAATTGATCAATGCCCATCATCTTTAACCATTCACAAAATGCAAATAATTTAAACCTAGAGTCAACTGGACTTTACCAAGCGTTTTTCTATGCCTGATGGATAGGTCGAGTGAGAGCAACTAGGTTTTAGAGATTGAGTGAGACCGGCTAGGTTATCTGAGCGTGTTTCTATGCCTAATCGCAGATGCCTTCTTTTTATTGAGGTATTAGGCTTGGAACGGGACTTTACTAACCCAACAGCTCTAAAAAAGAGTTGTTACTAACCTTATTCCCAATCCTATATATATATATATATATATAGGGTAAATTACTCAAATGGTCCCCAAATTTGTACGCGATTTACATTTTGGGGCCTCAATTAAATTTTTCGTTCAAATGGTCCATAAACTCTATATTTATCGCTCCAATGGTCCTACCGTCTAATTTTCTATTAGATTTAACCAAATTTTAGGGTAAATACAACTTTTCATAATTAACAAATAAAATAGGGTTAAAAATAAATACAAAATTAGAAGAAAAAAAATGGAAGAAAAAGAGAAAAAAAATCATGAGAACCAACCCCCCCCCCCCCCCCC